TATCAGCGTAACACTCAACACTTGTGAGTCATCTGAAACACCTTGTGGCTCCATGATAATACCATGACCCCGGAGCAGCATTTGTTTGAATTAGAAAGTGCACGGTTCAAGTCTCCTGACAGCCACTGCTCTTAACAGTAAATCCTCAGCGTCTCAGGGTAAAGAGAGTGTGTATGTGTGTGTTTAAGTGAAGAGTCGGGGGGGAGGGAGGGTCAGGTCCAAGGTGAGAGGCGTGAAGAAGAACCTTGTGGGGCTCAGTGGCAGGCAGCCTGTATTTTCTCAAGACCTCGCCTGAATCCCTTTTTTTTTTTTTTTTTTTGCGTGCTGTGGGCCTCCGTGGCCCCGGGGCCCCCGGGGGACACAGATGGGCAACACGTCCGGGGCAAAAAAGGCAGAGGTATGACTTATTGCCATGTGGAGGGAAAAGCTCTGGACGTGCCTGGGCGATGAGACCAAATTGAATAAGAGCGAGGATGAATGCGATCCAGATCTTCGGCCGATGCCCCGGCAATGCTGTTTCAATTAGCCGGCCCGGCAGTTCAAAGGCGAGACCCTGGGTTGACTTCTGCTGCGCATGAAGCCACTATCATCACGCTGCCCGCGTGCCTTCCAGCCTGCGTTATGCCACCTTTTTCGGCTCAGGGCCTCCGTCTCTGTGTGCTGATGTTTTACATTAAACAGACAGTGGATTCACCGTCATCAGTCAAAGGTTTATGGCTCTCAACTGCAGTGGAGTCTCACAGAAACAGGCCCGTGGAAATGCATGTCCAATTCATTCCCACAGAGTGGATTTCAACACCGTCAGCGGTTTGACTCCCGCAGACTGATAGTTAAATTAACACTTTCACAGCTTGAAAAGAGGAACGGGAAACTCTCGGAGAGCAAAGAGAGAGAGAGAGAGAGAGAGAGAGACGGCAGAGAACACTTGTTTAGATTATTATTATTGTTGTTGTTGTTTTAATGAAGCGTCTCCAAACAGGTGCTGAAAATATGGATTTAAGGTTTTTCCTTCTTAAAAAAACATCTTTAAGTCACACAACTGCCTAGTTCTGTTATTTAAAGTATAAAACAGTGAACAAATTAATAATGACATTAAAGAATGTGAAAATATAGTCGGGGGCTGCACAGGGGAAAATGTCTGAATCAGATTTTTAACCAAACTTTAATGAAAAAAAAAAGAAAAATAATGATGAAAATTTTGACATATATGATATACTGCGTGACCAGTTTGCGTCACGTGGTCCAACCTCCCATCATCCCCACAACTCGTCGTTGTTGACCTTTCAGATCTGGATACGGGAACCTCTATTTTAAAGGAACTGTATCAGTCAAAGAAGTAGGTCTTTATCTGGTAGTAAACACCCCCTAGAATCCCCCCCACCCCCAAGAACCCCCAGACACCCACAAAGAAGGACTTGAAGACGTGTTCAGAAGTGTTCGGCCATCTTTGTATTTCACGTCAGACTCAAAGTTTTTTGTCAATCCACGGTCACCGCTGCAGCCCTGACCCTCCGTGAGCCGCTCCAGACTGTGAATCCTTCTGTTTCACAGTCCCTCCATTTGGAGCTTCCAAAGATAGCACTGACAGGTGATATTAATGCTCTTTTATTAGCACTGCCTTGATTGCTGCAGATTTTTTTTGGGAAGGAAGTGATAAAGGAGAGAAAGAAAGAAAAGCAAGCCGGAGAGGGGAGAGAGACAGACGCACACAGAGAAGGAATATGGAAGTCCTCCGCCCACCGCTTCGCACAGGAGATCGCCTCCCTTTGATAGCCTGCCCGAGTCTGTTCCCCTCGTAGAAACTGCCCCGCAGATGTTGTTGCTGTATGCAGACTACAAAGAAGAAGGCCTTTATGAGAAGAACATCTATTTTGGGCCTCTGCGTTTCCGAGTCCTGCTGCACAGTGTGAGGAGCACAGAACCCATCTTTCTGCTGCGGAAAAAACTCTCGTTTTATTCCCTGCCCGTTATATTTTTAGATTAAAGCCCGATGTTAATGAATGAAGTGAGGAGCGAGTATTTCATGACAGAATCAATATGCAGTCACTGTGGTGGACTTGGGGCTGAAAAGGCCAGCTTAGCATTTTGGAGTGAAGAAGAGTGGAGTCTTGTTCGGTGGCCTGAATACGTTAGAGAGTTTTTTTTCGTCTTTGCTGTGTCGACTGTGAGGCAAAGGTCGCGGGGTCGATATTAGCTCATGATATTATCTTTAATTAAAGGCCCAATCCTTCAGCCAAGTTGTCCAAACACTCCTAAACAGGCTGTGTAAATCAGACAAACATCCTCAATATTTGATGGGCTGAGAGCGTCCTCGCAGCCTCCAGATGGTTTGTGTTTCTCCAGCCTTTCACAGGGGATGGTACAGGACAGCGATCTTCTGTTCGACCGTGCCCCTCGACAGAGCGACTTCTCCCAAAATCACACGCTGAGTCGTTGGACCTCTGCCTAGGTCGCACTCTCTCTCCTCTCTTCTCCCCTCTGTGTGTGGGTTTATCTCCAGGCTGTGAGAGTGTCTGTGTTCTGCAGCCGCTGCAGATTTTTTTTGCCTCTCGGTGTTTTGTTTCAATAAACCCACAATGGTGAATCGGCTATCAAAGCTAACGGCGCTAATTTAATAGTTTTGGAGGGGGAAAAAAAGAAACCCAAAGCTTTGATTTGCATTTTCTTCAAAGTCTCTGTGACAAAAGTCTCCTTTTATAAGGTTTATAGTAAATTTAATCAAATATCAAGTTCAGATTATTTGGCCTTACAGTGATCTTCTGTTGGGAAAACAGGAGTGAGATGAAAGGGACAGAGGGAGGGAAGGGGGGAGAGAGAGAGATGCTGAGTCCAGCATGCCCCAGTTGATAAGTCACTGGCCTGACGCCAACACACTCCAGTTTGTGCACGCACACACCAACACACACACACCGCCGTCACCACTCCAGTGGCGTCGGCTCTCTATTCCTCTTCGTTAGCGCCAACGAACGAGATGTTTGTCACGTAATTAGCAGAGGAGGTTCTCTGAATGCCTGTGTAAAACACACTGTCATTAAAGAAGTGAGAGAAGAGGGGGGAGGAGGAGAGGAGGGGAGACAGGCCTGGAGAGAGGGCCAACGATCAGTGACACAGAGGGGGAGGACAAGAAGAAGACGTCTGAGTTCCCAAGAGTTCCCAAGTGGAGTCGACCGGTCGTTTGTCATCATCACATTGACACAGAGATGGCGCTAGACGGCTGTCCGACAACCATTGACATGTGTTGATGATCTCTTTACTGCACATTTATGATGCACGGTCCAACCACTCACCTCTGATGGCACTGATGTCCTGACAGTGTCTCAGCACCATCATCTTCATCATCATCATCATCTTCATCACTTTCAACTGCATGGAAAATTAATTAAATTCAGTTTAACGTGAACAGAATTAACCAAACAATAACCAAGATCGCAAACAACAACAAAGTTAAGAAGACTGAGTCTTATCTTGGTCATGAAGGTTGCTGGTGCCAATCCCAGCAGTCAACGGGACGATCACAGGGTCGTTTATAGAGACAAACAGAGACAAACAGACCATCACAGGGTCGTTTATAGAGACAAACAACCAGGTCACATGATGCACCCCCCCCCATCCCCCCAAGGACTGAGGACTGAGTGGACATCGAAAATGAAAACTTTCTTCTTCTGGATGGAACAAATGTGTCAGCATCAGCTTAGATGTGAATTAAGGAATTTATAGTAGTAATAATTTATAGTAAATCTTATTTATAAGTCAGTCAAAAGAGAGAGAAAAAAAAATTAAATTAGAATATTTTAAAAACATCTTTGACTCTAAAGTGATAAAACTGTCACTCTTCCCTATGAAAACATGTCCCAGCCAATCAGCTTCTCTCCTCACAGTCCTAATATTATGTCATATTATG